AAAAAAAAAAGAAAGAAAGAAATAATAAGGACGGAATAGCGAAAAAGAGAAAAGACAAGAAAAAAGAAATAACGCACGGAAATATAGAAATGCTTGATTACTATACGGTGTTGTGCGTAATTTTGCGAACGAGCCAAATTCGAGTTCAGAAAGATGACTCAAACCTCAAGGCTCCGTTCACTTCGTTTCACTTAGTTCGGTCGACGTTGGCCCGGTTTATCTCCGGCCAATCCCGAAATAATCTTAGATTCGGCCTCTTCTGCTCTTACTTCGACTATCTGTCTTCTAAGACCTCGCTGCCTCTTTCTCTCGTCTCTTCATCGACATCGTTTGTCCGCATTCGTGCGACCGACTTAAACGTAATCGCAGATACATCCTGGAATTTCCTTCTCGTTTCTCTTCTCCGCACACGCAAGCGCGTGAATGTTTCCTTCATCTTCTCTTAAGTCGAAAATATTTGCTTGTCGAAATTTGCATTGGACACGTTGTACAAATGAAACTTTCGCGAATGACACTTGATTGACCAACGTTTAAAAAGAAATTCATTTCTTGGTGAAAATTATTAATTGATACATTTTATTTTAATAAAATACATACATTTATAATATTTATAATATAATACATAGTATTATAATATAACATAGTATACGTAGTATTTATAATAAAATACATGGTATTTATAATGACAGACGAATAACAAAGAGTGTCAATAGTGGTTAATGTCTGAAATATACGCCTATATTTCAATGAATTTCAGTTAGCACAATTTCTTATTTCTTATAAAATTCTCTGGATATCAAGCAGAACAGATTTTTATGAAAATGCACAAAAGTGTAAATGCAACGCTATAATTTTGTCAGTATGTTACACGTTGAATAATTAATAAAAGATCCCATCGTGCGTCTGTCATGTTCGATGAAAATTCTTCGGGTAATTTTTAGTTCCGACAATTTATTAAAATTTACATATTCAAGGTGTGACGTTGTGTTAAAAAAGGGAACAGTCTAGTGCATAAATAGTATAAATAATGCATTCAAAAAGATCTTTCTTTACATTGACGGTTCGAACGAAATCTATAGAATGTGGAGAAAATTGTACATGATGTATGAATGTATATATTCAGTGCCTCAACGTGTTCATTCGAGACTAAACGAGATTTAAGAGCTAATCACAGGATGTGGTCTTTAACAATTTCCTCGGAACCTTCAAATACGACGGAGCTTCATCATTGTAAAGGAAATCATTCTTCTCCGTTCGTAATTTCGAAATTTGGAAGAAAGTCTTAAAAAAATCTCGTCAATGTACATTACTACACAATAGCAATTGGAAATCGATGAAAGTTGGAATAAAAGTCCATCTGTCTATTATTATTTAACATTTGTTTGTCAAATTGTAAATAAACTTTCAACCAACTCCATCACACAGTTTATGCTCTCTCGCGTCCCATTTTTCATTTTCTTCTTTCTCTTCGCTTCAAGCGAGATTAATCGTAGAGAGAAAGAAGGTCACAGAAAACGCGACTTCAAATTCTTTCTTTCTTTCTTTTTCTTTTTTACGCTTGCACTTTTATATTACGAGCACGCGTTGTTTTAAAAAGTCTCGCGATAAACATCGCTATGGCATTTATCCGCGTCAGAATCTTAATTTACCAGGCATGTTGCGCAACCAGTCTATTTCCATACATTCCGAATTCCGTTACCGTCTACGTATTCATAGTATTTCCTACTTGGTCTAGAACAATATTAATTACACCTGACAAATACAAATTAACGTTGCATTATTACTTTTCGGTCGCATATCCGAAACGTGTAACGAAGAATTTCGTTGTCCACGTTGCGAACGAACTGCATTTCCATATATATATATACATATATACATATACGATACAATGCGCCATACGTTCGACTATTAGTTGATGTTCTATTTCTCTATCAATTGAAGTTAATATAACATGACCAGCAAAAATAATTAAAGTATTTAATTATATTGAAATTCCATTATTAAACACTTTTGCTCCAATTACTTCAGGAGTTTTTATTCCTTCAAGACATTTATATTTCATTAATAATAATTTTTATAAAAATATTACAAAAATATTACAAAAATATTAGAATGAAAATATTATTTACAATTATCGTGTGTGTGTGTGTGTGTGTGTGTGTGTATACACATGATACAATGCGCCATACGTTCGATTATCAGTTGATGTTCTATTTCTCCATCAATTGAAATTAATATGACATGAACACCAAAAATAATTAAAGTATTTAATTATATTGAAATTCCATTATTAAACACTTTTATTAAACACTTCGATTACTTCAGGAGTTTTTATTGCTTCAAAACACTTATATTTCATTAATAATAATTTTTATAAAAGAACAAAAATATTATTATTCACAATTATTATAGGATTCTATTTTTCTTTAATTCAATTAATTGAATATAGAAATTCATATTTTGGTTTAAATGATAGAATTTATAGATCTATTTTTTTTTAATCTACAGGATTTCATGTTTTACTCATGTTTTCATTGGAACATTAATATTAATTATTTCATTAATTCGAATATATATAAATTACATTTTTCATTAATTCGATGTAATTTGATTATTTCTTTATTTTTTTCATTATGTATTAATTTAATTAATCAATTAATACATGTATAGTATAATAAATTACATTTAATTTCCAATTAAAAAATTTAAAATAAAATAGTATATATAATAGTATTATAATTTTACTATAATTTTTAGTATATATATTTTATATAATAGTATATATATTTTTTTAAAAATA